ATGTACTCAAGATGGAAAGTACCTAACATATATTGGAGTAAGTTAGAAAGGAAAGAATGAAAAAAAAAAAAAAAGCAAGGGAGAGGAAAGGAATAAAGAAAGAAGGAAAGAGATGATTTCTAACTCTATAATTGAAATTCTTAAATCTGGTACCCCATTTTAATGGCCTTCTTGGTTTCTATGTTTTCTGCTGGTTTCTCACATTTAATATATTCCCAATGTAATAACTCATAGGTAAATAACAGATTACACAATTAGGACATGTTGTTTGGATGGTATCAATGGTAGCTGTAGGTTTGTTTTTTTTTTTTTTCGATTAAGGGATTATTTATGTAGTTAAAATCACCTATTTTAGGTGCATGGTTTGATGACTATTAGTAATTGTGTAAAGTTATGTAGCCAGCACCACAATCAAGATAGCAGACACATTATAAAGGGTCTTTGTACCCCTTTAACTTGATTTCTTCCTCATGCCTGACCTCAGACAACAACTAATTTGCTTTTTGTCATAATTTTGCCTTTTCTAGAATGTCATATTAAAGGAGTCATATAGTATGTACTCTTTTTGTTTGACTTCTTTCATTCAGCATAATTATTTTGAGATTCATCCAAGTTGATGCATATATCAATGGCTTATTTCTTTTTTATTGCTGAGTAGTATTCTATGGTACGATTTACTGCAGATATTTATCCATTCACTTGACGATGGATATTTGGACTGTTCCCAACATTTGGCCTTTGTGAATAATAAAATACAGATTTTTAATATAAGAATAGATGACTATATTTCCTTAGGTGAAAAGACATATTAGGTGATCTATTTATATCCCTTCTAGCACTTTGCTTCTGTGAAACACCTCATGTCAAAAGGAAAGATGTCCATGCAAGAAATCACATATAGTGTTTACTGTATAAGGTATTCTTCTAAGCACTTTACAATTATTGCTCATCCTCATGATAATTCTTTGAGATAAATACTATTATCTACTCTACAGATAAGGAAACTGAGGCACAGGTTAGTTTGCCCAAGATCACACACAACTGCTAAGAGGTGGAAGAACTGGGATTTAAATCTACATGTCTGACACTTTAATCATTGTACTTCGCTACCCCTCTGATATGATGATTTCAAAGATGATGAAATAGGGATTGTTACCTCTTCAAGAGTTAATATTTGAGGCTTATTGTTTAGTCATTTAGAAATATTATAAATAATCACAATAATAAGACCTATATTATAACTCTCTATTGTATCTCTAGAGATTCCTCTCTAGATGCCTAATATAGATGAGGAAAATTATTACCGAATAGGAGTTCAATCTCAGAAGAAATGATTTGTCAGTGCATATTTTTAGTTTTAGCTCACAAATGGTGAATTTATTTTGGAAGATCAGCAAAAGGATAAAAAGATAAAACATCTGATTAACCAGTAATTTGTGAGTTTTACATTTATTAAATCAGATTGCTATCTTTCTCAGAATTCTCAATGTTTTATTTTTATTTTGGGCAAAGTAAATCTGGAAAAGAAGTAAGAAGGGGAAAGCAGGAGGTAGAATTTTGTTATATACATTTCACGTGTCTATCTTTTCCTTCATTGTAAGCCTTTCTCAGTTTCCATCCTCAGTTTCTTCTCATTCTGCATTCTTAGTTATCTCGTTCTGTACTATACCTTCAAATAATAACTCTGACATCTCCAAGATTAAAGTTAGAATTTTCAAGAACTTGTTAGATATTGTCATATGGCTATTCATAAGACATTTTAATTCCAATGTACCTACACTCAAAACCCATCATACTGTTTTTTGAACAAAATCTCTTCATGGTTTCATATCTCAGAAAATTAGCAGTATGCTATCTTTTCTAGTCATTTGAATTAGAAACAAAAGAAGTTCTCATTCTTCCCTCTCCCTAACACACACATTTAAATAGTCTCCAAGTTCTAGTAGTCTACCTTCTATAATCTGTTTCCATTACCCTTACCACTTCACTGGTTTATGTTTTCATTGTCTCTTGCTAGGATTATTATGATATAACCTTTCTGACTGATCTGCCGGATTCTAGTACATGGTTTCTCTGATCCCTCCATACATTTTGGCAAGCGATAATGCTCTCTTTGTAACACACAGCTGGGATCATTTCATTCCCCTCAAAAAGCTCTAATAATTTTCAATGCATATTGGAGTAAAGTTCAAACTCATTTCTGTAACCATTAAATATTTACATTTCTACTTCCCCTAACAAGTTTCTTGTAGTCAGAGACTAGTCTTATCCATGTCTAGCCCCTCTCCAGCCTCCCAGTAACTTTAAACCCAGAGTTCTACTCATGTTTGAGTTCACATATTAAATAAGCAAAAGGATGATATCAATATGAAAAGATGGACTTGAAGTTTAAAAGGCCACTATATGTTTTAATTAGGAGGTCATAGGTGACATTCTAGAAAACAGAGTAAGTAATGTGATGGGGGATAACTTTGTCAGAGAAAGGAAGGAGAGAAAAGATGACCAGAGGGATAGTTGCCAGAAATTGCTTACTTAAGAATTTGAGATGGAAGATGTCAAATTAAGGGATAGAGGATTTGAGATTTGCAGGTTGTGTTTTCAAGCCCAACATCTCTCTGTTGCTGTGCTTAAAGATCATCTCACAGTATTGAAAGTTAGCAGGTCATGTTGCTCCTTCAAATGCTGCTTTCTTGCTTTTGCATAAGTCATTGGCATAGTAGCCCAAGTCTTCTAGAAGGAAAATTGATGTTGCAGGCCATCCTGGCAGTTCTATAGGAATTCACTAAGTGGCTTACATTTTCAGGCTCCATTCCTGAGGAGTTCACAGTGTACATATCAATTAACTGGCAGGGCTCTGAGCTCCTCAAATGGTATTTTATGCAATGAAAGTAGCAGTAAGCAGCACTAGCTTCCTCTGTGATAAACCGTATGTTCAAGTCCCCAGTGTCCATAGATACCGTGCACTTTTTAGAGAAGCCTGGCCCTGAAGCCCTCAGTCATCACATTGGAACTCCGTACGGCAGGAATTGCCTCCAGGATTATACCAAGAGCTGGAATTCTTTCAGGTCATACTCTCTTGAATGTTGTTCTCTCCTAGCAATGTTTCCCGCCCCCTAATAATACCTTTGTCAAGTGTTTTTACTGTGTATCTCTAATCCTGTGTCTGGCACTATATGTTTTACATGCATACTTTAATTTTAGCTCCTAAAAACATCATGAGATATAGACACAATTATTATTTCCATTTTGCATATAAAGAAACTGAGGCTTAGAACAGTTAACTGACTTCTTGAGCTCATAGAATTTGTTAGTGGCAGTGTACTTGGGAAAGCTGGGTGGTCTATAGTCAGAGCTGTGCTCTCAACACTACACAATGCCACTTCCTCTTGGGTACTTTGGAACACAGGGGCCATTTCCAGTAGGACTACAAGCAACTGAACTGCATTAGAACAAGTATAGAATTCTGAGATGTTAAAATATTTTGAATTTAGCAAATGATGAGAGCCACTGTAGTCCTTGCCCTTCTTGTTCTCCAGTTATTTCACTATTCAAATAAATTGCTTTAGCCTTGCATATAAGGTGCAAGCATTTGGGGGGATAGTATTTTTGCAGAAGCATACCAAAATTTCTCAACTTTAATATCAACTTTTGGCCTCTTTGTTCCACTGTCACTTTACTCCCATCTACACTGGTTACAATCTCTAAGCTAAGAGAACACAGCTAGCTACCAGCAGAAAATATGCCTGGAGATCTCTTACAGATCCTTGTTCTCATAGGAAATATAATGAAGAGTGCCGGTTCGTTGTTTTCCCAGCTTATTGTCTGATTTCCTTTAAGAGCAATATAATTATATTGATATCCTTCCTAATCTTTTTTGTTTCCCTTCAAGTTACTCAAATAAGATACAGCTTTCTTCATTTGCTTCCTCTTTTATCTCCACCACTTATTGTAATTAAAGAAAGATGCATGATTTCATTTATCAACAGGATTAAGGATTCTCATGTCTTTGACTTGTGCTGCTTAGACATCAGCCTTGCCCATAAACTATACCCTCTTCTTTTTCTCCTTTTTTCCTTTCT